ACACACACACACTCTCACTCACACTCACACCCACTCACACACACATACTCACTCACACTCTCACCCTCACACACACACACACACACACGTGTGCAAACACTCTGACCTGTGTGTGTGTGTGTGTAGCGGGTCACACTCTGGAGCTGCTGGAGCCACTGGTGAAGTTTCAAGTGGGTCTGAAGAAGCTTAGCATGACTGAGGAGGAACATGTGCTGCTGATGGCCATCTGCCTGCTGTCGCCAGGTGTGTGTTCGTGGTTGTGTTTTTTTCATGCATCTGTCATGCAATCATATGCATTTGAGCACTGCTGTATTTGGAATAAAGCATTGTATTTTGTAGTTCAACTTCACTACTGATCCTTACTTTTAAAAATACTTGACTGTTAAACAAATTATTTTCCCAAAAATGAAACTTACTAGGGACATGACAGCTTGTCCACAAACAGCCAGATAAATGGCAAAATGTTAGCATATTATCATAAAAACAATAACTGCACAGTGTAGATGTGAAAAAAAGTTTTTTTGTGAACAGAAAATATATATATATATATAAAATATACTGAAAAACAAAAAAAAAATGTTCAAACACTTTTTTTAAATTTAAAATCACTGGGGAAAAATTTTAATAAAAACATTTTACAATCTGGATGAGTTTACATAATGGGGGAAAAATTAAAACACAAAAGTATATTGACACATTAAAATAAATAGAAATTAATTTTAAACTTTTATTACCACGAGTGTTTTAAAAAGCAGTGGTTCTCAATGTTTTGTGACTCTTAAAAAAACTTTGTATATGATTTTATATGTTGTTTAGCAATTTAAGCTAATTTAATTATGGTTATTTTATATATTAATAGTAATTATATTAATTATATTACTTGGAAGTTGGTTGAGAACATAAATGCATTTGCTAAACTAATTATTTTGAATTAGGTTTGTTTTAATATATTAATTATATTAATAATAAGTAGTGCTGTCAAATGATTAATCGCGATTAATCGCATCCAAAATAAAAGTTTTTGTTTACATAATATATGTGTGTATACTGTGTATATTTATTATGTATATATAAATACACACGCATGTATATATTTAAGAAATATATTGTATGTTTATATATTTAAAATATTTATATATAATATCAATTGTATGAATATAAATATATACATGGAAATATTTTCAAAATATATGCTGTTTGTGTGTGTATTTATATATACATAATAAATATACACAGTATACACACATATATTATGTAAACAAAAACTTTTATTTTGGATGCGATTAATCACGATCAATCTTTTGACAGCACTAATAATAATATATTAATTTAATAAACTTTCGATAAAAGCGTCTCTAAATGCATAAATGTAAATATAAATTTGAATTATTTTAAATTATTTTTGGTACTAGTTGTTTTCTGGTGAACTTCTTTTCAGTATGAATCGCATGTGTTGTAATGATCCTCATTTGGAATTAAGGCATTTGCTATATAAACGAATTGGTCTTTTCTGGAGCAGATCGGCCCGGCGTTCAGGACCACGTGCGCATCGAGGCGCTCCAGGACCGTCTGTGTGACGTCCTGCAGGCGTACATCCGGATCAATCACCCCGGCGGCCGTCTGCTGTACGCCAAGATGATCCAGAAGCTGGCGGACCTGCGCAGCCTGAACGAGGAGCACTCCAAGCAGTACCGCTCGCTGTCCTTCCAGCCCGAGCACAGCATGCAGCTGACGCCGCTGGTGCTGGAGGTGTTCGGCAGCGAGGTGTCCTAGCATCCGAGAGCCCCCCGGCACGCTCCGGAGCCCCGGCAGCACACGGGACACCGTTAGAGCGTCACCGCTCACGCTACGGGGGGCTGTAGGGATGCACGGGTGTGGTGCACAGGTCTGGATAACGTCTCGGGATTCCCACTTTTAAGCTACGGGGAATTCCGAAAGGAATGTATTAATAAAGTATGAATAGAACGATGCATATAAACTAATATTTATATTTAAGAGAGAGAGAGAGAGATGGTTTGTATTAAGTGATAATGTATAGCCAGAGGATCCTCTGTTGTAATAGGATTAGCAGGCTCTTCTAGTTCGTGTGTGTGTGTGTGTGTGAGAGTGTGAGTGTGTGTGTGTGTGTGTGAGAGAGTGTGTGTGTGTGAGAGTGTGTGTGTGTGTGTGTG